GACTTTGGTTTTGCCTTCAAATCGTTGTCCAGATATGAGTTTCTTCGCGCCTTCACTCTCTGTGTCCAAAACCGTGGCGTAGACTCGGAATCCGTGTTCATTGAGTTTCAGGGCTAAGGCATTACCGAAACCACTTCCACAGCCTTTTCAACAAATATCAATAAAAACAATAATAAAGCTTTATATTATATAAAAAAGATTTTGTAAAATTAATAAATATTAGATATTATTGTATTTCAATACCTGTTACTAAAACGGCTCTTTTATATGAAGTTAGAAACTCTTTATTAAGGCGTTTGCGGATCTTTTTGGTGAGACCCCAGGCCAGTGCCGACACCACAAACATACGGCCCACCCATGAGACCAGACCTCCGAAACAACAGCTCACGTTAACCGCCAAATAAAGCCCAATAAACGCCAACAGATATTGTGTTACAAAACATTTCAATGAAAATATTTTAGTTAAAGACATTTTTGCAGCGATCCAGAAGTCTAGACTCTAATCACTCTCAACACTCTCATGAAATGTCATATAAAAGCCAATATAAGACAAATAAATGATTGAGTTTTTAAATATACTAAATGCATGTGTATGTTACGAACCGAATAGTTATATACTTTAATCAATTGAATATTCATGATGAGTTATGTACTAAATGTTAATACTGTACTTTTAAAACAGTTTTTAAATAATCTCACTTACTCTTTAGTATCTTATTCAAAGAATCCATTTAAATATATAATTAACTTTGATTTGGATTGAGATAAATAAGGGGTATCTGTATATTTAACGAATAAAGTTATCTCGGGCATAAAATTTATGCTGTATGAAAAATACAGTATTTTTGTGTTAATATAAAGGTAAAAGGTAAAGGCAACTATCTTTATAATGCAAAGTCACGTTAACTCATTAAAGATTTATTTGAAATGTGCACAAAATTATACCTATGAAGTATTGTAGAATGTCTATATGGTAATTACAATATTTAAAAATTCCAAAACACTTGTTTAGCCACATGGAATTTATCGTCATAAAATTAACTAGTTAAAATATAAAAATAAAAACACTAATAAATTACTGTATAAAGCAAAATTATTAAATATAGGTAAATAATTTTTTAAAATATTATATAAATTATATAAATACTGCTGTTAAAAATTTAAAATATTTTAAAAATAATAATTATAGTAAAATAAGTATTAAGTTGTATTCAAAAATTATACTTTATTTTTATTAATCAATATTTAATTAATAGCTGTACCGGTATACAGTACAGTAAAATAAACAAAATAATAAATGCATTCAAAATGAAAAAACATCGAAAAATAGTGAGAAATAAATAAAATAAATAATGTGATAAAATAAAAATTTATAAATATTCGGGAGTTTTATGTTCAGCCGGTAACTCCTTGTCTTTTTCCTTATCCTTTTCTTTCTCCTTTTGCTTATCAGTCGAGTTGGAAGACACCAAACCCTCCAACTGTTGTGACAGTGTTTTCATACGTTTTTGGATGATTTCCAGCAAATTCTTGAACTCTTTGAGGAAATCCATATTTGATGGCTTCTGGTCCTCATAGAAGGCCATATCAATGGGTTGCTGTCGACCGGCATTTCCGCCCGAAAAAATTCTGGTCACCCGTTGTGTGATGTCGGAGAAGGTCTCCTCAAACACACGCATCATATTCTGGAAGAAGTCGAGGAATGGCAGCGGAATTGTGATGGAACTGCCCTCCGATGTGGACGCCTGGAGGCCACCCAACGCCCGGGTCACCTGATCGGACACCTCCTGGATCTGAGTCGACCACAACTTCATGAACTTTCGCATCTGATTGACGACCACATTCTGCTCTACCGGCGCCTGTCGTGTGAAGAAGTTATTGATATTTTTGGACACTTCTT